CAAAACCCCAAAACCCCAAAACCCCAAAACCCCAAAACCCCAAAACCCCATACTGTAAAGAATGGTCATTAAAAGTAGGTTAAGAAATTAATCTTAATAGTAAGGTACTACTTATCAGTAGTTAAGTGAGTTAAATTTAGATTTTTCAAATTTCTGCAGGCCGTCATAAATTTCCTAATAGATGGGTTAATGAATTTTTAAATATACCTAGCTATTTTGATTCAGATGCTCAATAGTTCTTTATAGTCCCGATAACTCATTCTTCAAAAGTAACTAAAGATTATTATCAATTTAAATTAATTACAGCTGTCAACTTAGGTGCACTAATATCCTTTGGGGGATCTACCTTATTGAACTATGGTTGATTTTGATCATTCAGACTATTGTTACTGAATGTCATATTATTCCCTTGAAAAGCAGGCTTAGCAGTTTGAGAGAAATTTCTGTTATGTTACAACTGATTGGAGCTGCTCAAACTTCGAGGAGATATCTGATCATTTAGAGCGGCAAAGAGATTTAGCACTTAATCCCTATTAAAGTTTTGATTGGTGTTGTCAGCATCACTCTTGCAGTTACTAGCTGAAAACTCATCTTCATCTCTGTCCTCTCTGATGGGAATGTCAGCTGGACTACTAATCGTAAATGAATTTTCTTTTTAGCTCAGTGGCTGTTACTAGTAAGGATTTATGGATGGCTTTTTGCTATGATATGCAGAGTCTTTGCCAACTCCATTGAATGAGTGATTTTGAGATTGAGCGAAGCTTTACAAATTGGATTTGTCTGAATATTCTTGGACGTTTAAGTTCCTCAGAGGAGCTTGCTGATATGGATTACTGTTATTTCTAGTGTGATTTCTATTCTAAGAACTGTTGTATGATTGAGGTCTAGAGTGGTTAAGAATGCTCATAACCTTATTTTAGTAATCTTAAGCCTTGTTATAGGTGTTTTTATCAAGCAACTACACAAGTTTGATGTTTTTATCTTCGAGGTCCTCGATTTATCTCTGATACTCAAGCAACTCAGTTTCATACGAATCAGCGAATTGCTTCAAATCTATGACTTATCTTGTTAGCATATTTATTTCTTAGTCTTTTTAATCTAATCTCAACTCGTAGTCTTGTTCCCTGGCCTTAAAGTCATTAATCTACAGTTAAAAGGTCTGGAGGTTATCAAGATTCTAAACATGAGATTTTTTAAGTTACTAAATCTCATCTCTGAGAATTTAGGTATCTAAGTTTACCTAGTGATTGATATGAGTCTGAGACGAAAGTTGATTTTCCAAATCTTTGCACTTATCAGTGAGGATATTTACATCTCTTTATTGACTGTTTATAAGAATCATTTGTTCTTTTTTGAATTAGTACTGCTCATCATATGCTTGTTGCAGCACTTAATACTGATACTTCTACTGGTCCATTAATTTCTCATAGTTTTCTACCTTACTCATCAGACGAAGTAACTCTGATTTATACTAATCCTAAACATTCTTCTTTTCTTTATGTAAATTATTCCTTTTAGACTTCTCTTCCCTTATTTTCTAGTCATAAAACTAGACTATCTCCGAAATTTTTTCATTCAAGCTAGCATCATACTAGCTAAGCTAAAAGCTAAGCTCATTTACTTGCTTCTAAAGAATTATGTTTTACTTGTTTAAATCATCTATTTAGATAAGATACTAAGTTTAAACAGAATGTTTTGGCCTATTAATAAGTTCACTACTCGCTGGTCTTCCACTAGGTTAGTTTGCAGTTTAAGGTAGAGATATAGTCCTAAATGATGGGGAATGAGATTTTATTCTCAATCTTTGATAATTCTTATTAGTTTCAGAGTTAATGTGACTATTACTAAGAGAGTTTTATCTAGATTCAAAGCGAATTGGCTGTGCTAAACTATCACCACCAAGAGTAGTATTATTCTAAAACTAATTGTGAGAGTGATTATCTCTTGATCTACTATAGCGCTACTTATAATGCTAGAATATGTCGTTGCTACTCTTATTTAAATCTGCCTTTGAATTTTAACAGTCTAAGTCCTTGTAAGGATAATTTTAACTTTACTGTTGAACATCTATAGTTTAGTCAAGCATATTATTGGCATTAGAAAAGCTAAACTGGTATTTATGTCTCGAGTTATTCTGTAACTAATAATTATTGTACTAATTGAATTCTGCTTGCTAATTTCTATAATCAGAGTCCCTAGTTTGATAAAGATCTTGTTAAACTCGCTCTTATTGCTTATTTTCGATATTACTTTATTAGAATTAGAGTTTATTCTCTGCTCTAAATAAATTTACTCTACTTGTCTTTCTCTTTGATAAAATTGCAATGGCGAAATCTTTTCCACAAGTTACTTAAGATGCTCTGAATCTTTTGCTATTTTTGTTTAAATTTTCGCCAAATTTATGCTATTCCTGCATGCCAATTGTGGACCATGTGTGAAAATTGTGAATCTAATCTATAGCAACTCCGAATTCATCACCTACTGAGATGCTTTTGAAAAGTATCTGAACATTCATTTAGGTGATACACAGTGGAGAGGACAAGGACCCAAAACTTGTTTGTCCCCACAAATAGAGTTGTCCTTAGTGATTTAGTGCACTAGAGTAGCCTCCTGCTTGAATCTTTTTTATGTTTGATAAAGTAGGTAATTTCAAAAATTAGCTTGACTAATTTAAGCCTCTAATGCCTAATTGTAATCTGGTGTTATCTCCACAAGAGTAAACTTCCCCATATTTATTGAGAGCTAAAGTATAGTCAGACCCACATTAAAGCTAAATAAACGCACCATGCATTACTGGGTAATCAATCATAATAGGCTATCTGTATTCTTTTGTTTCCTTTATGCCCAGCTATCCTTGGAGATTACTGCCACATCCAAATAAGCTGCCACTTATCTTTTCCAAAAACATTGAGTGATTTCCTCCAGCTGAAATATGATCAATATTGTATTTGGTAGGATCAATATTTACCAAGCAATTAGCCTCAAATTAGGAGTTTGTATATGGATTGTCTTTCAACCCTAACTGCCCGTTTTCATTAGAACCCCATGAATAGCATTGACCTTCTCTGTCAAGAGCAATATTATGAGACTTCCCACTTGCGATTTTTACTATTTTAATATGATTCAATTATTCTACCAATACAGGGCTGTTCTTTTGAATGATCTGTCGAGTGCCTAATCCAAGCTAGCCATCTATGTTACTACCCATAGAATATACTAGATTTTAAGCCGTGAGGAATAATGTGTGCTCATTACCACAAGAAATCTGAATGATTTTGAAGGGGAATTTATACTTCATTGGTTTTTAAATCATTTTCCCATGATGCTTTTCCCCTATACCTAACTGCCCGAATTGATTAGAACCCCAAACATAGAGATAAGTTGTAGATTAGGTGGGATTAGATTTAATATCTTTCTTCGTATCATTTTATAAATGATAGTAATGGCTCGAACGATCACCATATTTTGAAATGAGGGAAAGATCTGTAGCTGAAGAATCTGCTTCCATTTAAGAATACTTATATTTTAAATTTTTTGTATTTAAATTTTCTAAACTAACTAACTGACTCCAGCTTATTCTCTAGGGGTTTTGGGGTTTTGGGGTTTTGGGG